TATTTATTTCAGCATAGCTGGGGAATAACTATGGAAGCCCAAAGATCTTTGGGTTTTTTTAGGACAGGCATAGCTTCTAGGTAAAGCAATGATGTATAAAATTTGTTGCCACTGAATGAGAAGCTTTCTATAGGTTCTAGCCCATTTAGTGTAAAGATAAATTGCATCATATTTGGGAAACACTATCTATGCTGCCTCTCCTCTTCATTTTTATGTATTCTTCTTCTCAATATGTTTGAGAAATATAGATAATTATTTTAATGTTTAATATTTTACTTCCAATAAGGTTCAGAATTCTTTTTTCTCTCCCTGTATGAACCTCACATACTCCTACTATGTTTGTAGTATTTTTGCTAGGATTTTTTTTTAATGTTTGCGTCAATGTAATTAGTGAGATCAATTAGTGGTTTTCTTTCTCAGCTTGATCCCTAAATGGTTTGGTTCCTTTCTTATAAAAGAAGTTTGGTTAAGTGCTTTCTTTCTCAGCTGATGTAGACATTTTTTAGTATAGATGTTAATTGCTATTCCATAGGATTCCATAGGATTTAGAAATAGAAGAATCAATAGAGTTTACATAGTCCAACCATGGGCAAACTGAGACCTAAAACTTTGAATTGATTTGCCCTAAGTCAGACAAGAAGTAGCAGAGGTGGAATTTGGACTTAAATAATTTCACTCAAAATCTAGTCCTCACTCTACTCTAACATAGTGGTGTTTTTGCATTTTTCCCCCCTTAGGCAATTGGGGTTAAGTGACTTGCCCAGGGCCACATAGCTAGTAAGTGTCAAGTGTCTGCTACTGGATTTGAACTTAGGTCCACCTGAATCCAGGACCGGTACTCTATCCACTGGGCCACCTAGCTGCCTCTGTATTTTTTTTTTCTATTTGAGTTAGGATGCATTTTATTCAGCATTGTTTTTCATTATCTCATCATTTTTACATTATTCTTTCATCTGCTCTTATTATGCTTTACTGAAAAACCACTAAACTTATAAGATTTGTTTTGGAGTCAGTACTTTCCAAATGTACTATTATTTTATCTGTAACAATGACATTTTGACTTTCTAGTTATCCACAGACTGTGTTTGCAAGTCTACTTATAGGTTTTTCCTCTCTTAAAATATTCTCTACCCATATAGACATTTCCATCTTGATGAAAATAAATGATTTTCTTCCTTTACCTAATGTCCCTGGCAGAGTTAATACTGATTAACAGGACAGAAAAAGAAAAGTGATGGCTCTTTGATAAGTTATATAACTAATAGCACATTGATGTCTTAGAACATGAAGTGATAATTAGTTCTTTAGAAAATTCTTATTAGTATTTTATTACTGTCCTAGTAAATTATAAGAATTATTTTTTTTCTCCTAAAGCAAGTCAATATTCATTTTGAATATATTTGAATCAGTATTGTAGAAATAGAAGGCAAAAACACTTTAAATCCCTTAAATTACTAATTTCCCAAAATAATGATATACATACATGTTTGTACTATCATAGTTAAACAACAAAAGCAATAATTCTCAAAGATAAATGTTGATTATACAAATTAAGAGATGAGAGGACTTCATTTTATTTTGTTTTCCCCTCCACGAGGAGCCTTTCTAATTTAAACCAACTTTGATAGAATTTCTTCCTGGTAAGAGATATTGAAATTCAAGCTCTTGTAGAAATTTAGATTAATTCCATTCACTTCAATTCAGTAGATATTTGGTAAGTATCTACTGTATAGGAGACATTTCGCTAAAGCAAACTTTCATGCTCGGCTGCTTAGTGACTGGATTATGGATTGGGTCACTTGAATAACTAAATCGCTTAACTAAGTCAGTTTCTTACTCCTGGCTTCCCTGGCTTTCTCAGTCCCACCTAAAATCCTCCTTTCTACATGAAGTCTTTCCCAAATCTCTTTAATTCTAATGCCTCCCTCTAAGACTAGCTTCAATTTATTCTGTATATATGTTTATACACAGTTGTTGACACATCATCTCCACCATTAGACTATGAAAGCATTGAAACTAAGGACTGTTCTTTGCCTTTCTTTTATTCCCAGAGTTTAGCATAGTGCCTGGCACATAGGAAGTATTTAATAAATGCTTGTTGAACTGACAAGAATTAATTGATGATTTGATTGACACCTGTCATAACTGTTAAGCTGGTATATTCACCATAGCTTCTAGCCAAAGTCTGATCAAGTAACCTAGAAAATATTATTGTTCCAAGTTGAAAGACATTGAAACATGGCCCAGTTTATAACCACTCATCACCTTCCATATGCCAAATAAAAGGCAGCAGGCACATTGATTGTAGCTGGTCACACTTCATATATTCCTTGAATGACATACAACTTTATAAATACGTAGGAAAGAATCACAAAGACAAAACAATTCCCAAATAGTCTCGCTCTGGAAGAGGATCAGGGCAGATGTGAAGAAAGATTTTTTTTTCACCTCTGTCCAATGCCTAAGGGTGCTTCACTGTGCTCTAAAGTTGAATGGAGAATTAGGCACAGGCATTCACTTAATTTGGTTGTTAGCTTAAGCAGCATGATATAGTAAAAAGAACATTTGAACTAGGAGACCTTGATTCAAGGCCCCATTCCAACAGAGCTATGTGGCCATGGACTTCAATGCCTATTATGGGATTGCTATCCAGCATAAATCTGGCCTTCATTTGTGATATCATTGTTGGGTATAAATCTTAATCTCACTGCCTACCTCACAAGGTTTTGAGTGGAAAACACTTTGTAAATTATAAAATCCTATGTAAGTGTTATTTTTATCATTGTTAAGGAGCATATGGGGTGTTCAGGGAAGACCAGCACCTCTGGTATGAGAACTTGCTGAGTCCTTTTCAAGGCTGCTCATGCAACTTTGGTATCCAGCAGGTCCTCCAACTCTCACCTGTGGCTCCAAGAAGCTGTAACCAGTGCAGTGGCCACACTCTGGTAAAACCTTCTTGACAGATAAGCCAAACCAGATTGAGGGTAACTGAGAGGCCTCAAACCAATCAGTGAGTCAGGAAGATGTCTGCCCCAAGCATGTAAAGACTCCCTCAGGCAGAATGGGTAGATGAGAGCAATTTGTTCCAACGGCCATGAAGGCAGCTTCAGTAGACTCTGTGAAATGCTTAGAGCTTGGTCAGACATCAAGTCACCAAGGTCATCCACTTCATCCTAAGCCATCACAAGTCCTGATTTTGTCTTCAGACAACTTTGTGCAACTCTCCTTCACTTATATCGAATTCTTATGAAATCAAGAAATCACCCCCTGAGGTTTTGGTCCACTTTGAAAATGAAGGACAAACAATATTGACAATACCTTTAACCCAACCAGATCCAAATTCTAAACCAGAGAAAATACGCTCTCCAAATGAAAGATTGAGCAAGTTTTTTAGCCATATAGTAGGTACGTCCCTGAGTTGGACGGAAATATCATTTTTGTAATATAATATTAGTTAAAAGCCTTTTGGAATAAATCATTTGTAAAGGGAATATTCATCTATTTTAGAAGCCTAGAATTTCTTAGTTTAGTTTTCCTTAAGGTAAATGCACACCTGTATCTTATGTCATTTTACCCTTCACCTACCTTAACTTAGTTTACTGAGTCACCCTTATGAAATTATTTAATTCCATTTAAATGTCTCTTTGATGACTAAGTACCCAGCTCTGCTCTAGACACGAACTTGATATATCAGTTGTAAAAAGGCAGAAAAACTGACCTACTGTCACTTTAAGTTGCCAATAATAACCCTCATCTATACACTTTCAAACAATGGCTTAATTATTGTTTTCTGTTAGGAAACAAGTGTCACTTGGCTCTTACTTCACAGGGATAACCCTGTGAGCACCAAATGTGATCCTATTTGTGAAGTGCTCAGTGTGGCGCCTCGCGTATAGGAGGCACAAGAGGTCTATCTCGGTTTATCTGATTGTTAGTGCTCTCACTCACTCTATATTCATTTTTTAAAATTCATTTTAAAAGGTCACTTTGTGGGACAGTGGATAGACTCAATCTCCTTAATAAAAGGATTTGTTCTGCAAAACTTGGACTCACTCAAAAGGCCACATCCAAGGACTAGAAGGCCACAGGTTCTCCACCCCTGGGATAGGATTTTGGGCCTGGAATCAGAAAGACCTGAGTTCAAATATAGCCTCATGTGTTTCCTAGCTGTGTGATCCTGGATAAGTCACTTAACCTCTGTCTGCCTCCATTTCCTCAATATAAAATGGGTGTAATAATTGCACCTATCTTAGAAAGTTATTGTGAGAATCCAGTGAGATAATATTCATAAAGCACTTAGCATAGTGCCTGGTACACAGTAGGTACATAATAAATGCCTGTTCCTTTCCTCCCCTATTTACTTTGCATTTATTTATTTATTTGTTTGTTTATGAAAATACTGTGTGCCCAACAGAATGCAAGCTTCTTGCATATACAGAAGATTTTGCCCTTGTCTTTCTATCCCTAGGACCTAGAACGTTACCTGGCATCTAGTAGTTCCTTGATAAATGATCGTTGAATTGAACTGCATTGAGATAGTGAGATATCATTTGGATCAGCCAGGGACGGACTGTGACAAGACCTTCAAAACCAGGCACAGTGATACAGACTTTACACAGATGGCAATGGCAAATGACCATTCTTCAGCAGGGAATGAGATGAACAAAATGTTTTAGGAACAGTGAAATGGTGGTGGTGTGCAGATAGTTTGAAGCAGCAGCTTGAAGAGGTTGCTTCAGAGCTACAAAGCTATTATAATAATCCAATTGTGACATGACTGTGGCCTAGACTCGCATCATCGTGGTGGGGATGGTAAAAATAGAGGCAAATTGGAGGTGGCGTGGGGAAGGGGCATTTTGAAGAAAGAGTCATCAAGTTGGTAACAGATTAATTACATGGAGTGAAGGAAAAGGAGGAGGCAAAGATGATTTCTGACTTGCAATAATGATGGTCTCATTGACAAGTAATGATAAACCTCTTTCTCCTTTTCTTCCTGACAGTGCGACTCCATGACAGCATATCGGAAGAAGGGTTCCATTACTTAGTCTTTGATTTGTAAGTACCCCTATATTTATATTGTGTTGGCATGTTTGGGCTGGCTCTGTTTGAAAGAAATCAGGTTTAAGTTGAGTATGAAGGCGAGTTTCTTCTCATTGGAAAGCCTTAATTGATTATGCTAATATTTTGAAAAGCCTCCTAAATTGGCATCAGAAAGCTATGCCTTCTGATGAGAGGTGATCAATACTGTCTTCTTCCCCTTTGAAACACAATTAATTATTAGAGTCACCCTTACACATGAGTTAGCTTTCTGGATTAATAATTAACAATCTTGATTGAATAAGTAAGCATCAGCTGTGCCTTGAACTACAAAACACCTAAAGTATGCTTATTTTCTAAAGGATTTTTTTAAAAGTTGAATTTCCCTAGTGCTGTTTCCTCCTATTGCTGACATATATGATTTTGGTAGGTAAGTTTAGTGCCTGGGTCAATAATTACTGCTCTATGTCTTATGCTAGGCTAAACACTGATTGGTATGTAAAATATTTTCAGCATCTTCTATAAACTGAAAGTCGTAGTCCAGAATTGAACCTGCACACAGTGTTAGGAAACAATTTATAGTGTAACTTTTTCATAAAAGATGATATCCTTCTATCCCATGCAACTTTCCTATTTGGAACACTTTATTTCTATCTGCATTTGGTTATTTGTGGATGTAAACAGTTCCTTAATATAAAGTGGGAAATGCAGGTGGCACTTAGATGGTCTATTTGGGGTTACAGTTTATTTTTGTAGTTAAAAAATACCACATGTACAACAGAATCATTTCCCCATTCAGCACCGAGTGACCAGTGAAGCATGTATGTGAGTAAGACGTGTCACACAGAAAACAGAAAGCTACTGAGCCATCCAACAGCCAGGAGCCAGTTTGTCTTGGGGTGGGTAAAGCACATTCAGATCTGGCCAAATAAAAGGCCTTATATAATCTTGGCTGGCATTATCCCCACCCCAGAAAGGAAAATGAAGGGACTTCATGGGATGAAAGTTGCCAAATGTGGACAAAAGCTGTAATTTGAAATATGCTGATTCAGGACACTGCATTTACCTTAATCTTTAGTAGGTTGAAAAAATATTTAAAGTGCATTGTGTCTACATTTGTAGATGAAGAAGCACTCAGACTTCAAAGAATTTTTAAGAATTTAAGAAGAATTTAAGAATTTAAGAAGAAAAAGATATTTTCCTATAGATTTATAGGCTTTAGAGTCAGGAGGGATTGTAAAGGCTTTTAGTCCAACCACCCTGTTTTACAAATGAGGAAGAGAAATAAAACAACTTTGCATGGGGAAAATCAGTGTTAGCTCCAGAGCCAGGACTTGAACCCTGTGCTTTCCACCGTGACATGCTTATTACTTCTCTACACTAAAAATTCCATAACAGTAGGGATAAGCAGCAGGCCTGTGATTTCACTGATACACAAAAATCCCTAAGGAGGAAACTCATTCTACTAATGCAGGTCTGTATAACTTCTCTGCAACTCAGAATCTTAGGATTGGCTTAGAGCAGAGATGTCAAACAAGGAGGGGAGTAGGACCCCAGCATATGGCCCACAGCACCTCACAGTAAGGCAGGAGCCAGATTGAAACATAATTGGGAAATATGTAACACAATTAATTTAAAAAGGAATATACGAATATGTTGGGCCCTCATTTCTATTTGAATTTGATGCTACTGGGCTAGAGCTCTGGGAAGTTGAGTTGCCCAGGGTCATAAAGCCAATATTTATTCAGAACAGGACTAGAACCTAATGAAGAAATAAAATGAAGGCGTGTTACAAAATGAAGTTGGTTGGATGTGAGAATCAAGAGAACCAATCAGATTCTGTCTCATGAATATTGATGTATTTTCCTCCGTCTTGTTGTTCTTCTACAGATCATTCATGGGGAAATAGATAGTCTGAGCTGTCTATTGGTTCATAAAATTCTGGTGGATTCATTTAATCAGTATCTCCCAATTCTGGGACAGGAAAGACCTCAAAACTCGTTCTCCCCTTCCCAACTCAACAGAAACTCACTCTTTCCCCCTCCCAACTTGGAAAATCCATCATCTTTTCTCCAATTAGAAATCAAATTATCTAATCTTGTATGCTGATTTATATCCTGTTAATTGTTTTCTTTTAATGCACAAAAATCTGTCTCCCCCTATGGCCAAGATGAGATGGCCTGGTCCTGATTTGTTATGCAGTTGGCATGCATTACTTAACAAATTGATATGCTTGGAAGTTTGGACCTTTGTTTCCTCAGTTAGTTCGTATTTCACCTGTCACACTAGGTTTTCATGACCTGAGGCTAACTCTGTATCCACTATGCCAATGGTTCTCAGAACCCCTTTATACTCATAAAATTTATTCAGGAACCTAAAGAGCTTTAGTTTATGTGGGTTATATCTATTGATATTTACCATATTAGAAATTGAAATTAATACATTTTAAAAGATTTACTCATTCATTTTAAAATAATAGCAAACCCATTTACATGTTAACATAAAAACATTTTTTTTTAATCAGAAGATAAAAGCAGCTAGGTGGTGCAGTAGATAGAATGCCAGGCCTGTAATTGGGTAGATTCAGAGTTCAAATCTGGGCCTCGGACAATTACAAACTGTGTGACCTTAGACAAGTCACTTAACCCTGTTTGCCTTAGTTTATTCATCTGTAAAATGAGCTGGAAAAGAAAATGGCAAACCACTCCAGTATCTTTGCCAAGAAAACATCAAACAGGGTCACAAAAAGTCAGACATGACTGAAAACAACTGAGCAACAATTTAAAAATATGAAAATAATTATTTTTAAAAACAAAAAATAATTAGCGAGAAGAGTAGCATCATTTTACATATTTTTGTAAATCACTTCAGTGTCCAGCTCAAATGAAGACAACTTGATTTTCATATCTCCTGCATTTCATTTTTTTTTTTGACTTAACTTCATTGAAGACAAGAAGAAAATCTAGCTTCACACAGATATGTAGTTGGAAAAGGGAGGATTAGTTTAATAGGCAAATAATATGCCAGTATTGTTATTATAATAGTTTTGACCTTGATGACCCCATGAAAGGTGTTGGAGCCCTCCAAACATCCTCAGACCACACTTTGAGAATCGCTGAACTGCACCAACATGCTACCTCTTTTTTGTTGTTACTGGGCATTCAGTCTTTCCATTGTATCTGACTCTACATGACCGCATGGGCATTGTCGATGGGTTTGTGTTTTTTTTGACAAAGATACTAGAATGGTTTTCTATTTCCTTCTCCAATGTGTTCCCATTTTATGGATTTTATGGAACTAAAGCAAATAGGGGTTAAGTTACTTTCCCAGGGTCATACAGCTAGTGTATGTCTAAACTCAGATCTTCCTGACTCCAGGTCCAGTGCTCTATCCACTGCACCACCTAGCCGTCCCATATCCCACCCATCTAGCCATCTGCAAATTAGGTTAAAAAGCAGGTCAGTGGTATGATTAGTAGAGTTTCCTGGGTTGGTAGCCAGTAGACTTGGTTCACCATTCCTGGTATGCTTGCTTTTTGCTGTACTGGATATTCCACATTCCACCTCTGCACTTTTATATAGGCAATCTCCCAAGCCTGAAATACTTTCCCCCTCAGTTCCACCTTTTGGAATTCATAGCTCTAGTTAGTTTAAGTGCCAGCTCCTCTACAAAGTTTTTCCTGGTCCTATAGATTATTAACATGCACCTCCCCCCACCATTTACTTTATATTAATTAGAGAGAGAGAGAGAGAGAGAGAGAGAGAGAGAGAGAGAGAGAGAGATTTATTCATCTGTGTATATATTGTTTCCTTCCCTCTTCCACAACCCCCCAGAATGTAAGGTTGGGCAGGAACTGCTTTCATTTTTATTGTTGTATCCCTAGCTCCTCACATGGTCATTTAATGGCTTATTAACAAGGGCCATTAATAGGTACATTTTGAACAGAAGGCAATAAAGTGAGCTTCGGATTTGGAGTCAAAGAACACGCCTGATTTGGATACCAGTACTACCTTTGTGACCTTGAACGAGACACCGACTCAGCCTCCTCCACTATATAATGAGGAGTCTGACCTAGATGGCCTCTAATATCTCTTCCACTACAGAATATTATGATCTATGAATTGATGTCTCTAACTAGCTTGTGATAGATGACATATCATTTGCTAATACTAGCTAGCATTTATGTCGTGCTTTAAAGTTTGCAAAATACTTTACAAATATTACCTCATCTTATCCTCCCAACAGCCCAAGAAGCTAGGTGCTATTATTATCCTCATCTCACAGGTGAGGAAATTGAGGCAGGGTCAAAAGAATGTATGTTTCTGGTTTGAAGCTTGTCTTCCTGACTCAAGATTCAGTGCTTTATCCATAGTGCCACCTAGCTGGGCTTCATTTTCTTCATTTCTCTAAATTGAAGGTAATCTCTCAAATTCACTGATGATAAAGTCTAGTAGAACATACCACTTTAGAAACAACCAGGAGAAAGAACTCTTAAAGGCACTGAGATAACATAAGAATGAATTCTTAATTAAATTTCCCAAAATAAATTTACTGCAGTGGTTTAGAACCATAGAAAATAGGAAGCAAACCTAATAAAGACTTATATCACCCTGCCAAGCACACTGAGGTTAAATATTACTGGCTGCAAAGAAGGGCCTTAATTCTACCTTTAAAATGATTCTGTTGAAGCAAGTGTTATAACAAAGATGAAAGCCCCTGGATTCCTAAAGAAGGAATGTTCTTTGGGCTTGTCTCCGTGATGATGGCTTTGGCAGCATTTTACTTATACATTCTTTCTGTGGAATTTTGAATTGTATGAACCTAAGAAGAAGTACTATTTTTAAAGGTCCACTAAGTCTCCTTCAGATGATTATTCCATTTCTGAAAGGCAAAACAGTAATTCTTTGCACTGTGGGTATACAATACAGGTTCTATACATTGTTATTTCTAATTCTTTGACTGATAAACACCTCGGTTGAGTTCAAAGCACATAGATGCAACCATTCCATTTTTAGTTA